TCCAGATAGAAGGATCTTGAAATGGACAGGACATTCCTGCTTCCTGACAGTAGTACAGGAGACACAACAGGAAGGAAGGACTGATGTTTTTCATGTACACGTGTTTAGTATTGTTGGTGTTCTCCAGACCCTGGGGGATGAGCATTCGGGCTCCATTCCCTCACCCAGGTGAGCTCCCGGGACCCCCGTGCTGGCTCAAGAAACAGCCTAATCTGTGTGTCACTCCTCCCTCCTCAAGGACACGTCTCCCCACAGAGGAGTCTCCCCTACAGGAGCCTCCGCAGAAGCTTCTCAGTAGAAGAGACTCAGAGACAAGGCCTGTGCGCCGAGGAGTTTTTGTCTCACGTCCTCTTTGTCTGAGACACTGTGAATAATGAGAGCTATGTTCTGTAGCACAGTAACGGGCAGCATCGTCCTCAGCCTGCAGCCCAGAGATGAGCTGCTGCATTGGCCGAGGCATCTCTGGATCCAGAGAAGCGGCTGGGGACCCCAGGGCCTTGGTACTTATCTGACTTGTAGTACAAGAGATACCGGGGAGGGCTCCCTGGCTGCTGCTGGTACCAGTAGATGTTAGAGCCGCCAACACTGAAGCCGCTGCTCAGGGTGCAGGTGACTCTGTCTGTTGTTCCAGGAGCTGCAGAGAGGGAGGGTGGCTGGGTCAGCACGGGCTGGGACAGGGAGCCTGCAAACACACACGCTCATGGGTGATGGGGCAGGGACCAGGGCAAAGGTTCTCAGTGTCTGAGCCAGAGGGTCTGATGGAGCCTGGGAACTGGGACCTGATACCCAAGGTCTGTATCTGTGTAGTGAGAGAGGAGCATGAGGGGGACAGGAGTCCAGGCCATGGTGACACAACCCCTGGTCCCCACAGGGAGCTGGGCTGCCCCAGGCCTCCTTTTCTCCTCCACCCTCTGTCACAGGAGGGGCTGTCCATGCAAACGGGGTGCACCCAGTGACTGCCCAGCCCCTCCTTCAGACCTGATGCTGGAGCTCAGCTCACAGACACACTGAGGAGGATGGGGGTGGCTTCAGCCCTGGGGAGAGCCCTGGGAGGATGCACCTGCTGAGACCACACACAGGTCCCTGCTCAGGGAACTCTGCCAGGCCTGACAGGACACAGCTTCTGAGTCTCCATCAGGGAGCACAGGACCCAGCATGCAGGCCCAGGCTCCCTTGAGTGAAGGGTCCTCACCTGACAGCTGGGTGGGTCAAGAGGGCAGACCCACAGCGTCCCTGCTGGTCACAAGGCACCCACCTCACCATGGACCAAAGCCTTGAGAGCCCAGTGACTTTCAGCAGCTCACCAGGTCCCTGTCTATTCTCACTCCATGACTGATCTCTAGATACCAAGATTCGTGTACATTGTACATGATTACTGTGGTTTCTCACTTTCTGAAGGGACATCTCTCTATGGAGAGGGCAAAAATGTACACAAATAACCCATTAGTGTTCACCATCCTCAGAGAAGTTACTGTAAAAGGTGAATGTATCATGTCAAACTTCACTGATCAGAGGACAGTGGAGCTGGTTTGAGGGGATCTTCAGGGAATGGTAAAGACTGGACATTTTCCAGGAAGTAAGTTCAGTGACATACTCCCAAGACATCAGTTCAGCAAACATTTCAAAGGTCACGTGGTGGCTGTTACAGTTTGATCGGGATCAGATATGACCGAGTGATTTCTGAAAAGCAAACAGCTTTGCCTGACTGAACTTTTAGTGGTGAATATTACACATATCTCTTTATGTTTGGAAGTAAGATGTAGCTCCTAAATTCATTGGTTTCTGAGTATTTCTTTCAAATTCTTGTCAGGATTCTGTCTTTGCTGCCTCACAAACTGTTCATATTGTAGCTAAATTTATTTTCCACTTGTAGTTTCGTACCCATTGCTTTCCTTCAGTAGGAAGATGAATGTGATGTTTTATTGTTTCCACATGCCTGGGAAAAGGGGTGCAGAAATCATGTTCTCGCTGGGCCCCAAAACCAAATTGGCTATATGTGCAAATAGTCACCAAATCTCTAGACTCACGGGGACCTTAAGTAAAAGGCCTATGACCATGATCACCCGCTTCCCTCAGAAACCCTCTCCTCAAGGCACTCAGAGAGGTCCTTCTCCTTTAGTTCGGGGAGGTCAGCCCACGGTTTCAACCCCTTCAGTAACTCCTCACTGCTGTTTGCTAAACACCCAAGCCCCTCCACAACCAAGGATCCTCCCTGCTCTGGCCTGCACACTCCCCCCACTCCCCGCATCCAGCTCGCAGCTCCGCCCCTTGTCCCCTGCTCCAGCCTCAGACCTCCTCTGGCCTTGGACTCCCTGAACTCAGTCCTTCCCATGTTCTCCACACCAGGTTCTCTTGGAAGGAGATGGGTTTCACCTGGAGATCTTGGTAGACACACCTATTCTGGCAACATTGAGCATCTGTTGAAAGCAGGGCAGACACAATGTATAACACATTGTGATCTATATTTCTCTATTTGTCTTCTATTGATCTTGAATACTGTAGCTTTATAATAGGTCTTCAAGTTCAAGTGTCAGTCTTCTAACTTTGTTCTTCCCCTGGAATATTATGTTGCTAATTTGGATCTTTTCCCTCTCTGCATAAACTTTAGAATCAGTTCTTCAGGATTTACAAAATAACTTG